ACCTACCTCACCGGTAATAGGAGAACGAAGAAGAAGAAGGAGACAACCTCGGCCGGTCCCGCCTCCCGCTTGATCTCCCGCAGCTTCTGCTCTCGCACGCGTGTCGGAAGCTCTGGCCTCTGCCCAGTCCAGGCATGCCAGATCTAGAGTCTCGAGTGTCTGCGCACACCACATATTCTGGAAGCTAGAGCTGGCAGGGCAATGCGGGCACACCTCGCCAGCGTCTTCGGCGCAAGGTCCTCCGGATGCATCTGGTGAGACTCGGAACCATTCAGAACCGCAAGTCTCCGAGCTCGTCACAGCGGCGGGTTCTTCTGTACGCTGCCGCCTCGAGACACGAAGGTCGCAAGAGATCAAGAATCTTCCCTTGACTACACACTTGCTCCCCACAAGCTTCATGATATTGATATTTCATTCTTCACCTGCTTCCTTACCAAACATCGTCAGTCCAAGCCAAGCCACTTTGCAGGTGGTTCCGCTGCCGCGGGCACTGCTTCGGCAGCAGGGGCTTGTCAGGGGCAAGCGAAACAGTCCGATGAAGCGGAACGCAAGCCCCGAAGACAAAACCTCCCGCACCTGCTGGGGGCTCCTCGTCCGAGTCGTAGCTTGCAATTCCCAGCATGGCCTTGCATTGACAGTACGTCTTCAGGCCGGCACGGAGTGGGGTGTCGTGATGGCAAGGGCCGCGGCCCCTCGCCACACACTGAAAGGGACGTCTAAGAAAGTGACTATGGCAGTTGCTGTGACTACAACACCTTTTCCCAGTGTTTCGGGGATGTGGTGGTTCCTCTTTGCAGGCCGCTTGTTTCGGTTCCGCCTAACGATGTACTGAGAACGGGCGTGTCCAGACTTTAAAGCAAGGGGTATCTTTGAGTAGCGGACGACCAGCCGAAAGCAGTGACAGCATGACAGAAACTAGCAACAGCTTGTGCTTTCAGCCAGTTCGGCTATGCTGCAAACTGTCCTTTATCTTGCAGTGTTCAAACAACACGACCTGCGAAGTCTGCGCAAAGTCAGCCTTCCGCTGGCGTTACTGCCTTATGCTTTTCGGATTCCTAGTTAAGGTAATCCGGTCAAGCCAAATGGAGTCTCCAGAAAGGACAGGCAAACTTGGCACAGGAGCAGTTCCCGCACAGCCAGCGCTGTAGCAGAACCGTCGGTGATGCATCTAAAACTTCTGTACATGTCAGCATCTATCTTGATGAGGGTTAGCTGACAAAAGTTCTCGCGGCCTCAGCCCTTCTTTGGGCTGCCTGTTCACTTGTTCGAAGGCAGAGCAGAAGCCTTGCTTAGCTTCTGTCGATGCCTGGCACAGAGGCAACAACCCCTCTAGACCTTTGGCTCTCTTAGTCCGGGAGGGCCGAGTGATTCCAGCAAAGCACGCACCCATTCAGGTGCCTAGCATCGGAGTCTGGCGAATTCGAGCGGCCATACCTTCTCATGTGATCTCAACAAGACCAGGTACGTGAGCAGGCGACAGATCACTCTTCATGCAGGAACGACAAGGACTCGTGTAGAAGCGTGGCAAGTCTCTTCCAACCGAAAATCATAGCCTCCGCTGCGGGATGCTGCCTGGACAAGGCGACCGGTAGCACGAGTGCTCGTCATTAAGTTCCTTCTTTCGACGGATGCCGAGGCCCAAGCTGCTTTCCAGCCGCCGCGAAGGTACATAAGCCTGGCACAGCTCAGGACTGACACAAGGAAATAAGCGGCACACCTTCTCTGCTGCTGTGCCGAGCTCAGGCCCAAAAGCGGCTCAAGTAAAGATCGGTGGCCCCTGTTGCACGGCCCCTATTCGGAAATCCTGTCTCTTTTGTTTGACGGAGGAAGAACATGGGCCCACCTGAGGTCTTAAAGAGACACGAACGACAGCTTCGGACTTCGGAGCTCCTATGGACAGTCCAGCTCTGCCCTCACAACCGATGCAGAATTTGCCACATCCTGCAGAACCATGGCGCACACATCTTTTTCAATACAAGCCGGAAGTCACGTGAAATACACAGAGCATGATGTATTGCACACCAACAAAATTATATACACACTCTATCCTGCAGAACTCAGAAACCACTCTACAAGGCATGCCTGAATCTGCCATGGCTGCACACTGTACACGCAGAAAGGCCTGTCGTGAAGTTCAAAAATGTCTCGATAACTTGGCACGGTTCGCGAGACTGCCACCTACCGTTTTGCTTTCCCAAGGACGTGGGGCTCCACGTGCGGACAGAGCTCTTTCGCCTTCTTGTAGAGTTCCGTGTCCTGCGTGGTGCTAGGACAAGTATACAAAATAAACAAACAGATTTGTACATAAATATACATACATATGTCGAATGCCGGAAATATACATGCGTACATGCATACATACATACATACATACATACCTACCTACCTACCTACATACATACCTACCTACATACCTACCTACCTACCTACCTACCTACCTACCTACATACATACATACATACATACATACATACAGTACGTGAATGTGAATGCATGAATGTGTATATGCATCTACGTATGTATGTACATGTGTATA